GGGTCGACGACGAGTATTTTATTTGCTTGCTTTTTTGGCCAAAGCGATTCACATATAATTGGAAATATATTATGTTTATTGTAGAATTTTGGTTGTTAGTACATGCAAATTTTTATTTCTTGGTTAGAATGCTCACTATCTACTGATTTTTACACGAATGCAAACAGTTGAAAGATGGGCCAAAACACAATTTACAAAACGCCACAGATTTACTTTCAACTTTTAGCACTCTATACCTAATTGGCCGACTCGAAAATTGCAAATTCCTTTTTTACATCCATGTTCCAGCGGCAGCAGCAAATTAAACAATTAATGTTGCAGCGACGGAAGAAACGTCTTGGGCAAAAACCAGGGGAAGGGCAGAAAATTCCAGTGACGAAATTTATTTCGGAATTTAATTTTTTATCCTAACCGACATGAATAAATTGCTTTTGTGTATTTGTTGGTAATTGTTATAGTTTTTCACCGAAAAAATATGAAAACAGATCGCGAACATTACTGCGATTACGTCGGAGTCACCATGAAAATGTAATACTATTTTGTATTAAAAACGCGAAAACTTGTGACTGCAGTAGTTCGAGACGTTGTTAATTTGCAAAACTTGTGAAAAACTATTTCGAAAGCACGACGAAAAGGAGTGGCTACGATGACGTTCGATTGATCACTAAAATTTAATTTCAATAATTTCTCTTAGAGCCTAACTTATGCTACGGTGGCGAGAGACGGGGCGAATTTGCAAGAGCGAACGGACGAAAGCTTTATTGGCTCCCGCTCTCGCCCTACAACTATTGACTTCAAATAAAAGCGCCAAGTGCGCAAACACATATATTTTTTTATTTATTTTTACGTAAATATTTTTTTATTTAAATATTTATTTTACCCTAGTGCAATAATTTACACATTTCCCTATATCGGAACAAAACAAAAACAAACTGAATTGTTATTGTGAGTGATTTCTGAGATTTATTCTTTATACCCTTGCAGAGGGTATTATAATTATTATATATAATTATTATATTATAATTTCAGTAGGAAGTTTGCAACGCAGTGATGGAGACATTGCCGATCCTATAAAGTATATATATTCTTGATCAGCATTACTAGGAGAGTCGATCTAGACATGTCCGTCTGTCAGTCTGTCCTTCCGTTTCTATGCAAACTAGTCTCTCAGTTTTAAAAATATCTGCATGAAACTTTCCTAAAAGTTGTCTTTCTAATGCAGTTATTAGATAAGTCGGATCGAGCCGGTTCGGACGACTATAGCATATAGCTCCCATAGGAACAATCGAAAAAACAAATAAAAAAATTATAACTTAGCTGTTTTTTAATTTTTTTAGTTCTTCAACATATAGTAATGGTTATATATTTCAGAATTACGGTTTAAATTAAATCAAAATCGGGCGACTATATCATATAACTCCCCTAGGAACAATCGTAAAAATATACGAAGAAATTTATAACTTTTCTGTTGTTTAATAATTTGTTTTAGTTCTTCGATATATAGAAATGGTTAAATATTTTAGAATTACGGTTTAAATTTCACCAAAATCGGATGACTATATCATATAGCTCCCCTAGGAACAATCGGAAAAAATACAACAAAAATTATAACTTTGCTGATTTTTAATTTTTGTTTTAGTTCTTCGACAATAGTAATGGTTAAATGTATTTTAGCATTACGGTTTAATTTCAAAATCGGACGTAAATATCAAAATTCTAAGCTGTTCACAAAAGTAAAAGAAAATGCACTGATAGAAATATTCGGACTATTCGTAAAACAAACTTAGATCACGCATCAAAATCGGTCGTAAATATCAAAATTCTAAGCTGTTCACAAAAGTAAAAGAAAATGCACTGATAGAAATATTCGGACTATTCGTAAAATAAACTTAGATCACGCAATATAAAAAAAAATATAGAAATAGAGAACGGGAACAGCATAAGAGTTAATATTCAGAGAGTTAATTATCATACAAATAATTAATAAATACCTTTCTTAAATTTATGTGAATTAACGTAAACAAGAGAAAATATAATGGAGTAAATAATTTTTTAAGGGAGGAAAAGTGTGAACCGGGTAATGGTTAAGTGAAGTGGGTGGGAAATAGAATAGGGGCCTCTGCAGTATTCGTGCAAGCAGATGGCAAGGACGGGAGGTATTAGCTCATGACATGCAGTCGAGCAGGAGTGTCAAGCAATATGACAACTGTATGTGTGTGAAATCAACTTATATCAGTGTTAAGTGTAATTTTAATTTTGAAAAGTAACCGCTCAGGTTATGATGTTGCACAACGTCGTTTGTCGTTGTATATTGTAATGTGTGTGAGGGCAGGTTTCGGACTTTCACGCCTTGATAGCCCAAAAATCACGCAGGTCCTAGTAGGATCATAACAAGACACAGTTTTTTTTTAAATGGGTTTTGAATAGGCATATAGAGATGGGGAAAAAGGGCGTCAAATTATATACGATATATTGATTTTTACCGTTGTTTACTTTGTATTTGGCATATCGACAGACTATCGTGGGTAACTATCACAACTCAGAACTGGAAACATCAACAAAAGACAAGGAGTATATGGATTTTCGTGAAAATTTTAATTTTTACTTATTGGGAAAGCAGCAGTATCATCTAATTCCTTGTTTATTTTCGTTAATTTTATCAAGTTTCAACAAACAACTTTATCTTTTTCTTCACAAATCAAGACAAAGAACTGCTGTTCAGACGCACGACTGTCAATTATAACCGGATATTCTGCTTCATAGCGTCTATACGGATATAGATAGGAGACGTTCGTGAGTGTAACTTGCCTATAACACTCCATGCTTTATTTTTTATATTGGCTAAGGACTTTCAATAAAATAATGTTGAATTTAAGATGCTCGAAAAGATATTATCTCTGTAAGGAAAAAATGGTTTGTCAAAAAGCACAAAAACAATGCACGTCTTCAATATTTGTTTTCTTAGGATCTGTTGCATAAAATTAAATTACCCTTTAAAGGGTAATCAAGGAAAGTGAAAAATACTTAAAGGGACTTCTTTCGTGATGTGGACAGTGTTGTGCCAATAATTTATATACACCTTATAAGTTTTCACTTTAAGTATATTAAGTAAAACTGCGTTTAAAATTTAACATATGTAGTTCCCCTGGTAATCACGAAGCCCTTGTTTTGCTTTTTATTTTTTTTTTCAACACTTGAAAGTAAAAAATTGGATACTTGCTAAAAATTTAAAGAAAAAAAAGGGATTTTTGATTTTTGTATAGAAAAGTTTTAAAAAGTTTTAGATAAGTCGTTTTGGTATTAAGTTTTGGCGCTTGGATGTCCACCGAATTTAAAAAAGACATTCGGGGCTCACGCCTATGCACAACGAGCACACAGAGAAAGATGTAAGGGCCGGCCAAACAGGTAAGCTTCTACCTTGCGGACCATTTTCTTACTGATTAGAGCGACGCAGGGCAAGAACAATTTTATTTGTCTTTTTTTTTGTTTCGCGAATTTGTTTTTTGTTTTTTGCTCGTCTCTACACTAATTGGCCTACATATCATGTGTATATGCAGTGAGTAGGGAAGCTGTTTAGAAATATTCATGGATAACGGCTATTTAACTTTTGAATACCAGTCCGCGAGTTTTTATGTCTTCTTCTGTTCATAAACAACATCACCGAAGCTTATATACTTACCCTTGCAGCTGTTCCAAAAATTAAATATTCTTTAACTGGAATGTTCCCATTTTATGCGTATATGTTTGACAACAGTGAAGCTTATAAGATTTTCCGATAAATTATTCGGTTGTTCCTTTGGCAGATATCGTTCTCAGAAATAAATAAAATTAAAACCAAAAACCGGTTGTTTATGCGGGTCGACATACGAATGCACATATATAAACATACATACATACGACGGAAACTATTCCTTCTACCTGTTATATACCTTTTAACGAATACAATATACACTTTTAATTTATGAGTTAAGGGGGTGCATCACAATACAAAACAGATTGGGTTTTATTTGATTTATTTATTTTTAGAAACAAACAATTTAAGAAATGCTGAGGGGGAGAACGCTGTTAGCTACGATATTTTTCTTGCATTTTATTACACGATATTTACATTTGCTATGTTTGAATATACATATGTATGTATACGAACGCAAAAATAAGTTGCCACAACTGTTGGTATGTTTTAATCATTACCCTCAATAGGAAAAGACCGGTTTTTCCTCAAGTGGCTAGGTTTCTGAAAAATTCAACTGATTTAGGGTTTTACAAATTGTGTTAAAACCCAATATAAGCAAATATATTTTAAGCATTTTTAAACACTTCTTGTATGATGACTGTTCGACTAAATGTTTCCGTGTTTGTTCGATTGCGAAATCTTACACGCTTATATATTACAAATTTAGATGTTACTCCGCTATATTATATTAAATTATTATATTATATTATATATATTATATATTATATATTATAAAAAGTTGACTTATGTTGTATATACGTAATATATATAATTATAAATATATATAATTATAAATATATATATACAACATAAGTAAACTTTTTATAAAAACATTATTATTTATACAAATTTAACTTTTTGTATTTTTAAACATACAATGGCCTACAGCTCATTTCAACATAATGAGTTAAATTCGTTACTTCGCCCTTATAGGTGACTTTTTCGCTATTAGTCTTTGAATAAATACAAAATAATTTTGAGCGCTTGTGAGAGATATCCCTAGCCCTAAAATTATTTTAATAAACGGTTCAGTTCAGGTATTATAGGCTGAAATAGGCTGTGAGCTACTATACCATTTACATAGAATTTGACACATTTAGGAATGAAAATTGAGTAAATTATTTACTACAATATGCGCTTTGTCTTACGTACACTTCTTTTTAACAAAAGTGCACTACAATGTTGACAACAAATTTGAACTATAATTTAGACACCAGTCTGATAATGCAATTTTTCAGTTGTATAAATCAACTACGTAAACACTTACCTGATGCGTAAACTTCCGTTTCTTGTTGTATTAAGAGATTTTGCAGCAATTTTGAAATTTGTGATTGGACTATTTCCATTATTAAGTTGACTGGCACTTGTACGCGGTAGTCGATTATTTGGATTAACATTTCCTACCAAGGTTCGAGTTGCACCACTAGCGGTTATTGCTTGTGTACTTGGTAAAATATATGGATGAGCAATCTTTATTATGTACAAACACGTAGTTAATAACGCCATCCGGCCGATCAAAATATGCCGCCTAGAATTTTTCCGAAATGCTCCCATGACTGTCAACAATTACAATCTCTGCTTTACATGCAACTGAGTAATTATTACCTGCAAAATAAGCCAAAATTGCTATTGTATGCAGAGTAGTAAATATTTTGTATTTTAGTTGGGAAACCAAACCTTTTTTAAGCTTGTCAGTAGCCAAGTAAAACAATCTATTATTTATATATTTTAGTAAAGAAAATTTGACTTTCCTTATATTCACTTTTTTGTTAGTCTTTTAACTATTCACGAGCTACTTACGAGTTTGGTTAATCTTTTGTGTTTCTGTTATAGACCAGTACCAGTGCAGCTAAAAAAAAACCAGCCACAAGCAACCATTTTACAACTTGCAACGAAATACACCACAATGATAGATACTATGGAACTTGTTTACTTTATTTCAAAGTGAGAGTTGTACTGCAGGTCTAGATGCAAACATATACCAGCAGGTTATTGTTAAATAGGTCTGAAGTGTATTTAGTGTCCTTTAACATATTTATATTTGAAAAGATAATGCAAAATAGTTTGCACATATTCCGGGGTGTCTCAGAAAATTCTTGGAACCAAATTCGGAACCTAACCCTTTATCCGTGCAATTTCCAGTCAATTATGATTCAGTTTCTGTGGCGTATTAAGTATTTTTGTGTGTTCTGGAAGTAGTGTGTTGTGTATAACCTTTTAACAAGTTCTTGCTAAAATAAAAAAAAAGAAAATGTTTATTTCTTCTTGAACCTCTTATATTTAAAAATTAAATACAACTATATTTCCTTTTTTATGCGAATATATTTAAATACTGGGAAGCTAGGACTATTTTTATTTTATTTTACCAATTGTTCCTATTGGTGCTATATGATATAGTGATTCGATTTAAAAAAATATCAAAGCCTTAAATCTGAAATATTAAATTATTCTATTTATTGAAAAATTAAGAAATACAACTTAGTTATAATATTTGTCATACAATTTTCCGATTGTTTTTGTGCATAGGAGACTACTTTATAAAACCGCAGAACCGAGAATCTGCTGTGATGATCCAATCGTAACCAATCGAAAGTTATTGCTAAAAGAACTTAAGGAACAGTCATTTGTTCAGGAGAAAGGGCGGCGAAAGTGACATACTGAAACACTTAACTTTTTAGCACAGTATAAATTTTGCTGAAAGTACGCGACGAATGACCTTGCATTATATTTAATAAATACTTATTTTGTTGTACACAAAATTAAAATGTGCGTGTCTGTTAGTCAGTTTCAAAAAATTTTAAGGACTTGTCTTAGAATCCTGGAATAATGTTTCTTGTATTTGGCAGGTCGTTACAAAAAAAAGTTTTTTTACGACTTTTTAAAAATCTTGCTTTTTAGCAAGAAATGGCTTAGCATTCCACGCCCATAACTTTTAAGCTAGTAAGGTTACAGTGCATAACTGCTGTACGTCGTTAAAAAGATATTGTCAAATGCTCATCAGAATTTATAAACAAAATTTTTTTTTTTAATTTTGTTGCAAATTATTTAAAAACAAACCTAACGATTTTTTTTAAGTGTTTAGCCCTTGAGATTCCTCAACTTTTGGTATATAGCACATTTCTCTAAAATTTTCGTTTTAAAGAAGCTAACGCTGCCTGGGTATTTCCCTCATAAGTATGAATCATAAATTTGGCGAGGAAAATGTTAGAAAACAAAAAAAGGAAGCAAGATTCGGCATACCGAAGTAAATAAAGTAAAGCTATTGCCAAACTTAAATATTCTTAAAAACAACCACATTTTGATTTTATTCGTATTTTTTAAAAAACAATGGAGTAATGATTTTCCGCTAAATTATTCAATCGTTCCGAGTGTGAAAAGAACAACCAATTAATAGGAGGTCTTCATTTACTGAGTTTTAATTTTCAACTGTTTTATTTCATCATGTCTCTGTAAGCAAATAACATTGGGGAGAGATTCTTATTCTAGGCTTATCTATGGCCATCCAGAGACCGCCCTGAGCCCGAAAGCTTGTCATTTGGGTTATAATATTTTGAAGGCTCAACAGATTACAAGTGCTAACAACTGTTACCTTACATGGTATGAGTAACAGATTATATTTTATAGCTCTAGATCGATTGACAAAGTCGATATATTTGGGACTGTTATCTTATTTCTAATAGCCACGGAGTGTCTTTGTTCGCGCACTTGGCGCTTGTAAATTACTAGTTGTAGGGCGAGAGCGGGAACCAATAAAGCTTTCGTCCGTTCGCTCTTGCGAATTCGCCCCGTCTCTCGCCACCGTAGCATAAGTTAGGTTCTAAGAGAAATTATTGAAATATAATAGTCAGTGATCAATCGAACATCATCGTAGCCACTCCTTTTCGTCGCGCTTTCGACATAGTTTTCACAAATTCGCAATTTAACATCGTCGAACTACTGCAGTCACACGTTTTCGCGTCGTTAATACAAAATAGTATAAAATTTTCATGGTGACCCCGACGTGATTAGCAGTAGAGTTCGCGAGTTTTAATATTTTTTCGGTGAAAATCTATAAACATTACCAACAAAAACCAATTTATTCGTGTCGGTTCGGCCAATAAATTAAATTCAATAATATTTCGTCGCTGGAAATTTTCTGCCGTTCTTGAAGTTGCGCAATGGAAGTTAAAAAGGAAGTTGCAATTATCAAGTCGGCCATCCAGGTATAGAGTGCCAAAAGTTGAAAGTTAATCTGTGGCGTTTTGTAAATTGTGTTTTGGCCCATCTTTCAACTGTTTGCATTCGTGTAAAAATCAGTAGATAGTGAGCATTCTAACCAAGAAATAAAAATTTGCATGTACTAACAACCAAAATTCTACAATAAACATAATATATTTCCAATTATATGTGAATCGCTTTGGCCAAAAAAGCAAGCAAATAAAATACTCGTCGTCGACCCAATTAGTGCGAACTTAATTCCGCCAACTTTCGTCGTAGTGAGCACTAATTTAGGGTATAAATAAAACAGCTGGAAAAAAGTGCAAATTGTGAAGAGTGTAGCTCTCAAAAATTAGCGCCGCAGTTTGTCCGAACATTTCACGCGCTTTTCAGAATTTTCCCGCGCTTTTCCAATTTTTCTGCGCTTTTCATAATTTTGCGCGCATTTCGGCGTCAGGCTTATATATGCGTTGCCCTTAGTTATCGGTCAGTGTATCATTTTCCGTTAGCATTTGCATAGGAAGAGCCGCTAGCCGCGTACACACACACACGCACACCGACACCGCTGCCGCTATTTCGAGTTATCTTTTGTCGTTTTCGTTCTCGATCGCTGCAGCAGTGCAATTTTCGGTCTGCCACACGTTTGTTCGTTTTTTCGATACGCTTGAGCTTGAGCGGTAGCTTCCCCTACAGTGAGTGCGTGCGTCATATACTGTCGCAGGGTTTATATAAAAAATATAAAAACCCTATTTAGATATTTTTCGCTGTAATTCTCTCGGCACTTAGCTCCCTTACACCGTGTGCGATCGGTATATTACTCGTTGATTTTTATTATATTATTTAACAAATAAATAATTTAAGAAAAATAAATATTTAACACCTCTTCGATACCAACCAAATAAATACAAATAAACGCAATGACAACTAAGGATATCGAAGAGCTTAAACACCAACGAGATGTTTACAAAACCAAATAGAAGTGAAAGATACAAAAGATGTATACCGCGAAGAGGTGGAAGAGAGGGCCGTAATGACAAAGTCATTGCTGATTTCAATTTTAAACAAGTGCAAACAAAATAATATCGAGAATTCCGCTCCGCCAGCAAATCGCCCGCCTCAATGCCGTCTACCGAGCGTTGTTCTCCCAACTTTTAGCGGAAAACACTCCGAATTTAAAAATTTTACAAGCCTTTTCGAAACTTTCGTTGACTAAGATGACACTTTACACGATATTGAAAAATTCAATCATTTAATGTCGTGTTTAGCTGGAGACGCTTAGGAACAGTGAGGGCCTTTCAAGTCACTGCAAAAAATTATCCCAAAGCCCTTGCTAGCCTGAAGCGGGTGCACGGTACTTCTTTTTAATTTGCAAAAAATTCCCCAGCCTTCAGGTACAGTCTTGAGAACCCTCATCGACACGGTCACAGCCTTGTATGACTCCTTGCTGTCTATTGGGGATGATAAACGCATTACTAATGCTATTTTAATACATCTGGTAATGAGCAAGGTCGATGCAGGAACTAAAAGAAAATGGGAAGAACAGGTAGATTATACTTCGCTTCCACTTTGGAGCGAATGTGAGGCGGCCCTCAACAGGCGATACCAACACATGGTAGCAGAAGAGGCTTCCAAGCCCAAAACTGTTCAGCAGACCCAATATAACCCTAAGAAGAATGGAAATAGGAGTTTTTCGTTTCGCGCTGCCAGGAACGACTCTGTTCAATGCATGTATTGCAACTTAGCTGAACATCAGATTGGAAACTGCGTTTCCTTCGCAGCCCTAACAGTTCAGCAAAGATTTGATTTCGCTAAAAGAGCACCCTTATGCATTAACTGCTTAAGAAAAGGTCACACTGTCAAAAAATGCAAATCGAACAGATGTAGAGTGTGCAATTCCTCACATCACACTTTGCCACACATATATGCCCCAAACACAAATCTCGCGCTGCCACCTCCTTCTCAGCCCACGCTCATGCAGGAGTCTCCATCCACGTCGCATGCTTTGCATGCGAATGCATCGGATCGAGTCATTCTTGCAACTGCTGTTGTGAGCGTCCAAACAAAAAGCGGCGAGTTTGTATTAGCTCGAGCGTTGCTCGACTCTGGTTCACAAATAAACTTTGTAACCGATTAGCTCGTTCAGAGGCTCAAAATTACAAGAGAGGACGTGTGCATGAGCTTGCGAGGCATTGATGGAACTAATGCCCAAGCCACAAAAAAAATACACACGATTGTGAAGTCGCGAGTAGGTAACAGCCAATTATCGTCCGATTTTTGGATTATGAAAAATATTTCTGGTTATCATCCGGATCAAGCGGTGAACACCAGCGGGTGGAGGGTGCCTGAAAATATTCAGTTGGCAGATCCATTCTTCTTCAAGCCCCAAAAAATAGATATGCTTATCGGCGCTGAAACATTCTTTGAACTTTTATCTATTGGCCAGATAAAGCAGGGGCCTGAATTCTCCATCTTACAAAAGACAGTTCTCGGCTGGATAGTGTCAGGGAGATGTGCCTCTGAAAATAATAAAAACGCTGAAAAAATTGTTCATCTCAGCTGCCAGGAGGAAGCGTTGGAGTCAATTGACACAACCCTGCAGAAATTTTGGTCTGTGGCGGACTTGCCGCCCAAGGCTAAAGTCCATATTCTGAGCAACAACTCTGTCAACAACACTTTGAGAAAAATACTCAAAGATTGTCGTCCGGTAGATTTTCGGTTCGTTTGCCGTTTAAATCTGACCCAAATACTCTTGGTTCGTCATACGAAGTTGCGAAACGTAGATTTTTGTCGCTAGAAAGGAAATTGTCAAAGGACCCTTCGCTGAAGAAGATGTATATTGAATTCATGAAGGAATATGTTTCACTGGGTCACTTGTCCTCCACCAATGACAAAATTCCGAATACTCCGCACTTTTTCATTCCGCACCGATG